TTTGAAAGTGGGAGCTGTGGGGTCTATCGAGGAGAACTGGAATGGCCTTTCTGCAGGCACCATGCCGCTCTGTGCCTCTGTTAGGCGCAGGAATGTGGGAGATGCAACAGGCCGAGTCTGCACGAGGCACCTTGCAGAAAGCAGGGGACGCCTAGCTTTGGGAAGCGCTGCCATTGCTGTAGGCAGGAACTCAGCTTGGCTAAGGTGAGGGTCATTTGTGGTAGTCTTACCCAGGCACTCCCACCCCTGGTGGAGCTGCGCTGAAAACACTGAGGGCATTTGTGGCTGCCTTCATCTCCTCCCCTGTTGCCATTCCTGCCAGGCAGTTGCCCCATTTCAGGTCAGCATGACTTCACCTCACATGCAGACTTTGGAAGGGCCACAAAGCAGTGCTGAAGAGAAGATGTTCTAAATGGGATCATGCAGTGATGCCCGCAGCCACTGCCAAGAACTAATGGCACACAGTCCTGTAGTTCTGCATCAGCATGGGGTAGGAAGGTAGCGTGAGGGGTCCAAGCAGCCCAGGGCCATCCCTGCTCACCCCTTTCCTGCCCCAGCCCTGCTTCTGAAGCTGCAACTCAGCTCCCAGCACAGCCCAATGGAGCACATCTCCATCAGCACCCCTCGATGGCAGCTCTCTGCTGGAAGCTCATTGAGCTCGCTGGGCCCATCCCGGGTTGTCCACGGGCACTGCCCTCAGAGCTTCCCACTGCCCCACAACCATCGCGCATCCAACGCTGTGCCGGCAGCGCAGCCGCCTCTCTTTTCCTCATCATCGTAGCTTATGGGAGACACCATTTGGCTCCGGCTTTGTGCTACAGCAAATAACCATTTGTGTAACAACGTGGCTATGCATTACTTTCCGCAGCGGCTATCAGTAATGGCGTGAGGTGCTCAAGGAAAACCTCCAGCGGTCCCGAAACGCACAGCGGGTCGGCAGCCGGTGCCGCTGAGCCCGGCAGGGCTCAACTCGAGCACCGCAACTTTCTCAGCGCCCGCGCTGAACTTCAGGACGGGTTTTTTCTCCCCGAGGAGCTCCGAATCGGGAGCGCCACCGCCGCTCCGCGCAGTGCGGCTTCGCCCGGGGGCAGCGCCGGGGGAGGCGGCCGCGTCCCCCGCAGCCGGAGCGGCCCCGGGCCGGGGGCGGAGCGGCCCCGCGGCGGTGCGGCGAGCCCTGACGGGGCGCGGGGCGGGGCGGGCGCGGAGGGCGGAGCCGGCGGGAGCCGGGTGGGCAGCGCCGTCGGAGCGCCGCGCAGTGCGGAGCAGAGCGGCGGCGGCGGGAGGCACGGACGGGCGGCGCGAAGCGGAGCGGAGCCCCCCCCGGGATTACATTGCATTGCAGCGAGGTGCTTCGGCGGGGCCGGAGGAGCTGGGGCCGGGCCGCTGCTTCTCCCCGATGGAATTCACCTGAGCGCGGCAGGGACGGTGCCCCGGCGGGAGCCCGCTTTGTCTCGGGAGAGTACGGGCATGACTTTTTAAAACCAACCCACCGGCCTAACAAAGCCAACCCCCACCTCCTCCCCCCCCCCCCCAAAAAAAAAAGAAAAAAAAAAACCAAAAAAAGCAAACAAAAAAGACCAAGCAGAAGATAAAAAAATAAAACAAAATCCCATCCGGCCGCGGGAGGGGCCGCGCCAGCCCGGAGCCGGGCCCTGCGGGACGGAGCTGCGCCCGGAGCTGCGGGACCGCCGGAGCTGCACATGCGTTCCTTTGTCCTGGCGCCCCGCTAGCGCTGCCCGCGCGCTGCCGCTCGGCTCCGGGATCGGCTCAGCGGGGCTCCGCCGCCCCGAGGATGCCCGCCGGGCGGCCCGGCGCTGCCCGCCGGTCCTGAAGGATTAGTTGTGGTTTCGGCGCGGGACTCGGCTCTGGATCGGAGTTGCCCGGCGCACACGCGCGCCCCTCCCGCACCGCCATGAGTCCGGGGCCGGCGGCTCCTCTTCGCCCCGCGTCCGCAGGTAACGCCGCGCCGGGGTGGGGGAACGTTGCGTCCGCGAGGTCCTCTGGCAGGGAAACGCTCTTGGGGGTCTCTTTCTTTCTTTCATTTATTTATTTTTTTTTCCTTTCTGCTTAATTATTTATTATCCGTGTCGGCAGTTCGGAGCTTGCCGATTTCTTTCGCGCAGCGCTCGTACCGAGGGGTGCCCGCACCGGGGAGGCTCGGGCGGGCAGCGCGGGGCCGTGGGTTGGTTGGGCGGGGGGCGAACGCAGCTCTCGGCTCCCAGCGCACGGAACGTCCCGCTTCGGCCCCGCCGCCCCCCGCGCTCCGCACGGAGATACCGGCGGGCTGCACGGCCGCTTGGAGACGCGGAGGAGATTTTAAATCGGCTTGGCGAGGGCGTTGTGTGTTCCTTCTGCGTTAGTGCCGAGTTTTGTTTTGTTTTTCCGTTCTGTTTCAATTCGCGTGGCTTTGCTTTTTTTTGTTTTTGTCCTCTTGCCGGTGTTGTGTAGTGCGAGTGCCTGGGCACAGAAATGGTTGCATCGAGAGGGATGCTGCGCTCGTCCGCTGGCGGAGATCGCCTCTGCTGCTGTAGCAGTTGTGCGTAACCCTGATCTCTCTTTCATATTTAAAATAAAACCTAAAAGTAGCGGAAAAGGGCAAAGTTCCGGCTCAGGGTTGGAGCTGCCGAGGCGGCTCGTGGTTGTTCGTACGGTGAGCCCGGCGGTGCGTTTGCTCCAAGTTGCTGCTCCGCTCAGTAACGTGTGGTCAGCAACGCAAAATGGGGTTTGCTCCTGGTCGAGCTTTGTCTGCGGGAGATGATGCCTCTCTGTGTGCGCGCCGGGCCGAGCATCGCCTCCCGATCCGCTCACAAGTGATGCTCACTCGGAGCGCTTTGTGCACCGCGGTTCGTCCGAGAAGTGCCGCTACCACGTTCCACAGCGATGTTCTCAGCGCTGCATGCGATAGGAATGGCAGGATTTCTGCGGGAGAATCGGAGCTGAAAAGCAGGCGCTGGGTTTATTGTTGGAGATTGAGGAAAGTTCTTTAAAAATACAGAAATGGTGTCTTTTCCCCTCTTTTTGGTGTTTGGAAAAATGGAGTAAATGGGAAACTTAGGGCTTCTTTATGCTGGTTTATTTAGAAACAGTAAAATAAAGTAACACTTGAAACTGTAAGACGGTTTGGTTGTGGGTTTTTCTGGGTTTTTTTTTCCAGTTTGTTCTTTTTTTCCTTCTTTCTTCCATGATAGATTTTGTGAAAACAAAGAGTGGTTTGGAGAGTTTCTGCCTTCAGAGAGAAGCTGCATTTAAAAAGGCAACAGCAGATGAAATTCGCTGGGAAGGGTCATTATTCCCCATCAGAGAGCAGGCTGATGGGCACGGTCCTGAAAGCTCTGAGCATGGCTTGGTTTGTTGGACTGATACTGGACTTTGAAGCACACGGCTTTCTGGGGCTCTTCAATTTCTGCGTTATCCACATATTTTTCATTAATTCAAGGAAACTCGTCGCTGGATAATAAATCCATCAGTGGGTAATAAATCCAGTGTTTACAAGGTATTGAATTGGGAAGAGACGCGCCAGCCCAGCTTTGAAATAAGCCAGCAGTCATCTGAAATCTGTCTGGAAGTCTGAAAAAAGAGTACAGCAGGGTTTTTTTTTTTTTAATTTTTTAAAATTTTTTTGCAGTTAATTGAGGAAATCTTTGACGTTGTTAACTTGAGGGCAGGCAATCATTGCAGTGCCCTGTTACACTCTGAGCTGTGTCTGCTCGTTTATCGCTCGCTGGTTCCACACCCAAGTTGTTGGGCACTGGAGATGCCTCCTATGCGCTGCCTGTCTGGATGGCTCTTCTCTGATTCTCAATTCAGAAATTTGTTCCCTTCAACCAGAAATTAAAGCTTGCTTTTCAAACAATGGGTTTTAATTATTTGAGCCAACAGTTTCTATCAGAAGACTGCGGTCTTCCTCGAGTGTTACGCTTCCCCTGTTGGCATGGTTTTGTTCCTGGGTACCTTCATTTCCGTGTGCTTTCAGAAAGCAGACTGTCTGACAGCGGGGCTGTGTCCGAAATTGAGTTTAGAATTGAGCAGCTCTGTGTTCAGTGAATGTGGGGAGTAGTGTAGGTGTGAGGGGTGTGCATGTGTTTGCAGCTGTGTGTGTGCCTTGTATCTCAACACAGATGCACAGATGTAATGATTTTGGCTTCTGCACTCGGGGTGTCCAAAATCAACATTCGCAGTGTTCCCTTTCCTGTTAAGTTTTGAAAAGGGGCACTCAGCATTTTGGTGTGAAACTTAAAAATGCATCATTTCAACAATAGGGCAAAGGACGAGGCGGCACGCTTGAAGAACAGCAGTGGTGGACGAGGTACTGAAGCAGCACTGGGAGGAAAAGCCTTCCCCAGATAAAGGTGGCAGATGAGAGATAGAAAGGACCATTGGTTTGAGCACGGCGTGGTTTCAGGAATCAGTTACTTTGAGGGAGAGAAGCCCTGTGTGGAGATGCACCCTGTGCTCGATCTGAGGTGGCTTTTTCAGACCTTACCTAAGAGCAGTGGGTGAGATTACCGAGCCGAGGAATTGGTGCTGCTGTAGAAGTACCAGCAACCGAATGGTTGGTGCGGTTGGAGTCTCCAAAAATACTTAATGAATTTAATTTAGAAACCAGCAATTCTGCCAGTCTCCGAAGCTGGGCTGTATTTCACAAAAATTCTTATCAAAATCCAGATCAGAATGCAGTGGATAATTGCGGTACAAAAATGCAGTTTGTGTGCAGCTGATGCATGGGAGTAAAAATATATATATTATGTATTTTTTGTATTAAATTGAATCTTTCCAAAGGAAAGCTCTGCACTGCAGGGCGGCAAAGCACAGCCAAATAGCACCACCTCATGGACGTTCCCTTCGGAGCCCATCGGCTCCTGGCTTTTGTCACCTGATTTGTTTCTCTGAAATATGTACACATCTCCGCGCGTGTCTCACTGTAGCGTCGTTCCTTTGAAATGCATCGCTTGAAGGAAACGTAACTTCTTTTTTTTTTTTTTTTTTTATTGGTCTTTCAGGCATCTGATGCCAGCTCTGAAAAACTGTTCAACGCTGTTACAAATAAAGGTAAGACTGCAATTCGCATCACCAATGTGTTTTCCCCCCCCCATGCGTTCCTTCTCGTGGCAATTTCAATGGGGATGAAATGTGACTTGTCTGGCAGAGATGTTGCAATCAGCTTGTTAGTGCTTTTTATGTTTCTCTCGGTTTCAGACGTGTTCTGTATGCTTGATAATTGCTTTGCTTAAGCAATATAAAATAAAGGCTTTAAATAATGCAGTGCCTGCCAGGTCAGAATTAATTTAAATAACAATATTAGGGAATAGTTTATTTTACAAATGGCTTTAATTTAAGCTCATTTAAATAACTGTAAGAGTTTTCAAAATGTTTTAACTTGATTGTTACTCATCAGCTCCATGATAGACATGGAATTATGAATAGCCAATTTGCACTGCTGACAGTAATAACCAGCCAGCGTTTAGTATTCACAGGATAATAGTCATAAACCATGGCTTGCTGTGCTGTGTGCTTTCTGTAGAGTTAATAAATGATATAGAGGGCCACATTTAAATATTCAGTATCCCATTAATTTCCTCCAAACAGCAATCTAAAGAGAGAGTGGCTAATGATATAACAGTACATTAAGGGAAAACTCGCCCTAAATCAGTGCCAGTGAGCTTCTGTGCAGAGCTTGTCCTGAAGCAGCATTATTAGAAAGGCTGTGGGGATGTATTTATTTATTTATCCCTTTATTTATTGCAGTGTTTGGGGTGGTTTTTCTTGTTTTTGTTGTTTTTTTTTTTTTTGCAAAGAGGGCAGAGGGAGCAGCTTCCAGACATGAGTTGTGCCTATGTGTGTAATTCAGAGCCTTCAAAATGCGTCAGCTCTTTCTGTTTTTCACCCACTGTCCTACTTCTCAGTGGCAGTGTGTAATAATTACCCATTAAATGGGGCTGCAAACCCGTAGTGCTTTAACCTGGTGTGCTTTTGGGGACATTTGAGTCAATCTTGGTTAGAAAATGCAGATTTGATGAATTTGGTGTTCAGGTCTGTTTTGATCACAGTTGGCCGGGTGTGGGTTGGCTTTGTATTGGGTTTGTCATTCCAGTGGGCCGTCCTGGTGTTACTCTACGTGCTTTAATCCCACAGCACCATGTAATTGGGGATGAGCCCATGATGCTGTGAGGTGTGAGGTTCCTGTGCTGATACGTCGTTGCTTTGGAGGTCTGCTGCTGTAGTTGAATCCTATTTAATGGCATCACAGATCCACGTTCCTTGTTTTTTGTGTTCTCCCACCCTTTGGGAGCCCTGTGTTGGATGGATGACCTCGGTGGCCTAACCGGACGATCTCACTTGGCGAGCTGATAGATCCATTTGCTTTAATTGAATGTATGGCTTGCCCTCAGCCCCTCCACCGCCAAACAAATAAATAAGGTTGCACGTTTGGGTGACCCACGCTGCTTGTGACCACATGGGAATTTGGGGCCAGGCGAGGAGGGGCCTTTTGCTCTTCCTGCCCTTCCCAGTTCGGACCCAGCACGTTTCCCACAGCCCGGATAGTGTTTACTTACCCAGGTTGATTCGTGGCATCTATTTGGTTGTGAGCATCCATGCTTGACAGGGAGCCTTTTCTTCCGAGGTACTTTTCTTTGGTGATTTAGTTCCCTTGAAAGGATTAGGATTTCTTTGTGTAGCCTAAAATCAACATAGGCTTTTCTAAGCTTTGCTTGAGAAACCGTACACAAATAAGCTTTTTAGTTGATGGTAGATTATTCCTGTGCCCCTTATTTCCATCAAAATGGCGGCTTTCTTTTCTCCTCCTGAGTTTCCCCTTAAAGCCATATGCTAATTCCTGTTGGTAACATGAATGACAAGGGGAGAATCAATTCAAATCCAGGTGCTGCCAAACCAGGCCGACTGGTATTCTCTTTTTTATTTTCTTTTTTCTTTTTTTTTTTTTTTTCTTTTCCACCGGGAGAAAAGAGATTAAGGGGAAGGAGGGCGGAAAAAGCATCGGGAGCAGTTTTGTTAAAGGGATTAGCATTCAGGCTGCTAAATATCAGGAAAAGAGCCCCCCAGAAGACCCCTGGTTGGGGATAATGTCGCTAATTGCTTGCAGCCAGGTGCAGGGGCTCTCCGCCCGTCGTGGGGCTGCTGCCTTCCCCCAGACCCTGCCCTGGGGACGGCTGAGGGCTGCCCGGGTTGCTGTCATTTTGATATATTCCAAGTTCAAGTTCTCTTCCTGCAATTCAGCCTGTTTGCTTGGAAGCCAGTTCTTCCCCTCTGCTGTCCGCGGCTGTTTTTGCCAGAAGCAATAAAAGTCGCTCGTCAGAAAGGGTCAGGTTTGCATTGGGTAAATCATGATGAAACCTTCAAAGCTCCTGGCTGGGAGGCCCAGACTGACAAGTGTGCCGTCCCTCCTGTCCGGAGCCGGCCTGCCTGGCATCCCTCAGCTCCCTGTGTTTCACACGTTTTTTTATCTTGCCACCTCTATTTTTTTTATTTTCTTTCAGAATTCTTTACGGCAGGATTTACAGAATCGGTGTATTCACAAAGTGTTCCTTTCAGTACAATCCTGAAGCGTTGTAGGTTTCTGCCATTCAGTTGTAGACTCGGGGCTAGCGATGAGGTGGAGCTCAAGGTGTGTGGGATTGTTATGGGTGTGTAATGGGAACTAATCCCTTCCAGAAACAGAAACAGTAATAATTAAAAAATCCAGGACAAAGTTAATATTCCCTCCCTAGACCTTCTTTGATGAAGGGTGGGAAACCCATCAAAGAGAAGTCTCCTGACATCCACTTCGGAGCTAGCTGCCCTTAGAGCTCAGTGGGAAAGTGAGATTTCTGAGTTTTGGGATGCTCCGTGGGCATTGAGGCCCCTTCAGGGCTGGGGTTTGTGTGCAGCACAGTGGTGCTGTGTTTGGGAGGGCTTTAGGGTTCCCACCAGCTCTTTGCTGCCAGTGCTCCCTGAGTTTCCCAAACCTGCACTGGGTCTGAAGCAGAGCTGGGGACTAGAGAGGGATGTGGCTTTGTCCCCAGGGCAGCAACTGCTGTGGCTGCTGCTGAAATGAGCAGTCCCTGGTTGCGAGCCTGAGCAGGAGCTTGTTATGTTGCAGAGCTTGAAATTATCTAAGAAAATGATTCCCAGTGAGATCTGGTGGCTGTGCTGGGAGGTAAGCACCCTGTAATCTCTCCATGGAGGAGGAATGGAAGAGTAGCACATCACTCGTCTGCAGCAGCCCTCCATCCCCCGCATTGTGCAGTCTGTGCCTTCCAGCTTCAGAAATGCTACTTGGAGTCTTTGGAAGAACCTAACTTCTCTTGCTGTCTGAGAATGTCAACCTTAACGCTGTTAATCCTGGCCAAAATACAGGCTTTTGTTCGTGAATTTTTGTAGCGTGACTTTCCAGCATAATTAAATTCCATTATCTTTTAATAATTTAAACAGACACATCTGAAGATGTAGAACAGGCAGCTCCTACTACTGCTGCGTATTTAATTTATGTTAAGTCCCTCCTACGTACCCTTGGAAAACAGCTTTTCCTGGAGGGAGAAATGAGTCCCAAAGTGATGAAGTTTCATTTGTGCTGTATATTGAAGTTTGCCTTTGATCAGGAACACAATTGGGCCGTTACAGCTTTTTATGTTCAGATTGTTTACAGGATGTTCATGTAAACTTTATGAATCCTTCTGCTTCGCGGCACCACCAGCTGTCAGGGAAATATTTATATTCTCAGCTGGAGGTAGATCAAGGCGTCTGGGTTACTAGTCCTCACTGGTGGCTGCAATACTACCCGGATCAAGGCCTGGCTTTTAGGTGGTTCTGCAGCAATATCCTCCCCTGGAAAAACAGACGGATTGTTTTTTTTTCCCCTCGTCTTTTTTTGGTGAATCATTTCTTGAGGATCTTTTACAACATCTGTTTCTGTAAACAAGCAGGGAGCTGAGGCTGGCATGTGCTGCTCCTTGTTGGTTCAGTCTGCAGGAGGTTCTCGGCTGTGGAGGAGTGTTCACCCTCAGCCAGCCGGTCCCACAGCAGCCTGTTGGGAATCCAGCTGGGTCTGCTGCTGCACAGACAGCACAGTGCTGCAGGAATGCCACCGCTGTGCCGCTGCACTGACTGCTGCTTCCTTCCTCCTTTCCAGGAGCATGCAGGAACCTTCTTAGCTGCTGCATCTTCTCACTGAATGGCTTAATCCCAGACTGTATTTAGGGCTCTGGACCGGTGCCAGTGCAGTGGAAGCCCACACGTTGCTCGGCAGACCTCAGGGACTGCGGAGTCTTTGGCACAGTCCCATAGGCTTCTCTTTTTGTGGCTGTTGCGATGGCTGCCCTCCCAAAATGATGCCCTGATGTGGTGTGTCCTTGCATTCCAGTGGAGGCTGTGCTGGTGGCTTTGGATCGTTCAGTTACCCTGTTTTTTGGGTTTCAGATGGCTTCTCGGTATTTTCCATGTGAAAGCTGAGTGTCTCATTAGCAAGCTCTGTGCAAAGCCTCCTGTTCGGAGGACCTGAGGTTTCTTGTACCAGCGAGTTAGATTAGAAGAAATGTTGCATCGCTTCACTGTAGCTTGCAAGTCAGGCAGACAAAAGTCGATGCCTGCCTTGAGACAGTCCTTTGTTCTAGTGCACAAAAGAGCAAGGCAGTTATTTCTGTTCCACGAAGGCTTTATCTGAGCGAGGAATTTGTTGAGTAACTCCACTTATGGCTGCATCTCCTGTGCACAAACCGCTCCTGCCCATCAGTGCACTTTCTGTGCCCTCCCCTTCACCTGCTGCAGGGGTTCTGGCTGCGATGTGGCAGTCAGGTGGGGTGGCCTGTGTTGTGGGATGTAAGGGCAGTTCTGCAAGAAAAGGTCCCTGTAGTGTGATGAACACAGTGTGCCCACAAGGACAGTGAAAGAGGGAGAGAACCTCTTGTACAGCCTTTCTGATTCTTAAAGCCTAGAGCTTGCAGTGTTACAATACAGGAATCTTCCAAGGCTTCTAAATTAATCATCGAGAACTAAACTGAACCATAAAATAACCAGACTGTGGGCTTGGGTGTCTCTTAACCAAAATAACTGAA